CAACTCACGGGCTTTGCGGTGGAAAAATCCGGTAGAAACTTTCAGTTGACTAAATGAGCCCGATGTGAGAGGATGCAGGCAAGAGAGGGAGAGGAGAGAGAGCGCGCCGTGGCGGCCGCAAGGCCGCGCAGCGGCCAAGGAAGAACAGTGGACCAGCGCATGGCATCACACGACGCCCAAAAGTAGTTCCGGCCCCCCTCAATGGTGGGTCCACCAAAGTTCAATCTTACCACTAGATGATACTAAATCTAGATTTAGATCTATGTAGTGGTGTGGCAGTCGTTGACAGATCTATATCTAGATTTAAATCTAGTAATTTTTTATAATAATTCATTGACTTGAGACTTAGAAATTGAAAGAGTAAGACTAGGCTATATTTTCAAGACCATTACTGTTACATGGTACTATCCCGTCCATACTATACTGAGCCTGAGGTTTATACTCAGATTACCCTCACTCGTAAAAAGATGGACTAATCTAAAGTTTTGTAGATTCTAGATCTAGATCTAGATCTAAAAATCTATTTATGGAAGGACTTCCGTTTCGAGCGACCACCCCAAACAAACACAATATAGAAGAGACGTTACCCTAACCCAACCCCTAACCTCACCTCTACCCCTACCCCAAACTTTACCCCTACCCCTAACCCTACCTCTACCCCAAATCCTAACCCACTTTTTTACTCTGTTTCATAGTTGTAGCACGTGACGGATTCCTCCTGAGAATAATAGATCTATGTATTCTCACCCCGGGTGAGAATACTCACACCTTAAAAAAGTGACCTAACTCTAACCCTTACCCTAACCCTAACCTTATGCCTACCCCGACCCCATGCCCTCTATTCTACTCTTGTCTCATAATGGTCGCTCATTACACGGCGTCACTTTTCACCCGATTCTGTTACCTTTAGTTAGCATGACTAAGCTGCCGGCCGGAGCTCCCCGGCTCGGGGTCACGGGGTTAATGAGCCCTGAAGCGACTTTGCCGCGGTGTCGGTTAGGAAGTTCGCATTTTTTACTATGTTTAAAACGATATAACTTCTTCCCCATAACACACAGCAAACCTTTATGCGGATGTACTAAAAGCTCAATGTCTTGAGATTTATTCTGCGTTAGAATGGTTAATTTCTCTGCCTTCGTTTTTGTTCTACACGAGTGTTTGTAGAGTACCCAATTTGTCCTATTTTAGTTACAAACTCATGAATAAATGATTGCTAATTTTAAAAAGGCACGACAGATCTCTCAAAAATCTGTGTTAAACTGACTACGAATATCATGTCTTTTACCAAGAGAAATCTTAAATCTGCGCTAGTAGTAATAGTCAAGTAAGAGAAGAAAGATGCACATCTGCATTTTTTAAGTAAAGACGATCAGCGTTAGCTCTTCTTTTACTATTAAACAAGAGAAAGTTACTCTGTGGTTGTTCATGAATCATGCTGTGTCTGTGACAGCCTGCATACAACTAAAAAGAAAATATAAGCGATTAAGAAAACCTACAAAACCGTGTAAATACATGAGTAGAGATAAACCTCTTGTATGGAATAATAATAATGCCAGCTAACACATTCTTTCTTAGTTTTTGTGTCGGAAGTATGCGCGGACACAATTATGAATGTAAAGAAATCAGTCACATGGTCAGTTATTGCAAATGGTCATAGAAAATAAAAATAGAGCTGGAGAAGTCTGGTGCTGATTCAGTGTCACTGGGAAGCTAGAAATTATTCTTATAAAACCCAATTACGAGAAGTCGAAGTCATCCCTATTATTCACTCAACTTAGAAAACCTAGACTTAGTGTTTTAAGAAAAGTAAGGAATTTCTGGAGTGTAACAGATACTGTTCGCGTATTACGTTGAAGATGTATTCTGGCACTAAAATCGATTTGTACTTTTCATAGAAAAACTTCATGGTAACTTTTATAAACTTTCAAGAAAATATGGGAATATATATTCACAATTATCATTATATTAGACACATAAAGTTGTATTTGGAGGGATTACTTCATAGCGAATTGTGTGCCTAGTGGATAAAGTTGCAAAATTACAGCTTTCTATTATATGCGCAGATACCATCTTTTCTGAGTATCTGCACCAATGCTATGTCGTTCATGTTCTTAAAGTTCAACAGATTTTGTCGAGGCTTTTATTTAATATTGATTTTTTTAAATTCACGCTAGTCCCAAAAAAATTACAATTTAGCATTGCCGACTCCAGCGCTTCTAACAAAATAACCAGACAAGTTACAATGTCCGTTGTTTTTTGGGGTCTCAAAAGCAGAAATCCATGCTTTGAGTGCATTGAATGAGAATTACCATAAATACAAAGATACACCTAAAATTGTACGTTGAAAAGTACCAAAAATTAAGTCGGCCCAGACAGGGAGCTGAGCCCCGTGACCCCGACGTGATATGGCGCCCAGTGGGGAACCCCCCGCGGCAACTAAAATTCCACTACCTGTGCGCCGTGGTTGGGGAAGTCCTCTTCTCTTTATATTATTAAATGAGCGGAGAGGTTTCGGTTTCATTTCAGTTTCAGAAGATCAGAGGAAAGATAAACATGGGAAGTACAGTTGTACTATAACTCACTGTGATACAACTGACTATGGTTTACAACACAACCTTCATGGGACCAGGGAATCTAGCAGATTTCATTAATCATTTGCTACGCCAAGCCATGTGCAGCGGCGCGGCAAAAGTGACTTCACTATAGCAAGCCGCCCCCAATGGCTTCAGAACCAACCTATAATTCTAGCCTTGGTTCTATTCCCAATCCACATTTATCCATGTTAAATTAAAGATCATAATATAATGTTGACTTCTGGGTGAAGCATTTCTACGGAAAATCCTAAATTTTTATTCAGTTTTGAAACCTGAATTAGAAGTTTTCGCAATACCCAAATTAGGCCTATAGCACTATAGCCCAGATACCAGTCTTAGTACTTTTAGAAAACAAAATGTATCATTATTTTGTTTATTAAAGAAATATAGGGCTCTTCTGTGGGATATTGATAGGCCTACTATCTTTGTAAAATGGACTCAAATTGTCATCGCTCTGTTATTGAGAAATCAATATGTTTCAGTGCTAGAGATTCTAGATTATATCTAGATCTAAATTATCAAGAGAAAAAAATTTCTTCCCAAAATCACTATTTTTTAAAGTAAAATAATACAAAAAATACCACTGTAGACAGGTGTAGTTTTATTCCAAATGCAATATGTGGGAGGTGGAAACAGGACAAAATAGGGGATAGCTGGGTCTGGGTGAAGTACGGTGTGACTCTGGTTTGCGGGACATGGTCTATTTGGCCTATTTAATTGAAGCAAGTGGCTATTCTCCTGCGTCACTCCGGTTAATACTTCGATGGCTTTTCTCTGGCATCACGTATAGTTGCCCATGTAGCTTCTCCGCAGCTTTCCATCTCTCCTGTAGGCATGTTATAATGGCCATTATGGTTGCAACTGAGTTCAGTGCCAGATGCACCTTCTTGTATTTCTGGTAATGACTGAGGGTTGTTAATGCTTCTGACTGCATGTCCACCTATGGTGAACCACATTCTGAAGAAATGCAGACGCTGACGAGTGTTTGTGTAAGGCCATAACATGCCGACAGGGGAGATGGAAAGCTCTGGAGAAGGGGAATGTGCAATTATACGGTGGAGAGTAGCCACTTACTTAATTGAATGCATGCTGTGTGATGTGTATTGACAATGGTAAACAATAGTGAGCTTAAAAAAGTAAAGATGGAAAACCTGCTGGGAGGTGTAGGATGATGAAACTTCTCAGATTTTGCTTGTTGTGTCAAACAGATCTCAGGGACTTTTTTATATCGTGTTAAGGGAAGCTGCAATGCATACAATAAAGAGGGGGGGGAACTTGGATTTGAAATCCATTCATATTAACATTAATTTCATGTTTAATGGATTGGAATTTAACAGAATATACTGTAATTGGCTGCATTCACATCTTTTCTATGCATACGGAGCTGTAATTAGCCATATCTGAGAACTGTTTCGTACTACGTGTATTTATTTATTTTGTGTGTCATTTTGGTCTTGTTAGGCCAAAAGAAATATATATATCACGTCACAAATTAGTTATTCTTGGCAAAAGCTAAATTAGACAAACGAGGATTTACCAAGCTGGAGGACCAGTAATCAACTCAAAGTGTAAGAGTTTTTAATGTTTTATTGTAACTCATTTTGAGATGGACAGTAGTTTCCTCTTGAGATCCCAGATTTGGTAATCGGGGGAAAAAACCAGAATGTTTTAAACTATTTCTACCATCTCTGCTGGAAGTTTTAGCAGAAAGTTCATTCTGAATGGATTCGAGAGTTGAACAGAATGTGTCACGACACGTCTGAATCAGGCTCTCGTCAATTATTGGGCATATATGTACGGAGTTACTGGTATCATCTTAAATCTTGTTCATTTGTCTTACATTTAATTAAAAGGAATACCCAGCTGTCTTGAATAGACGTTGACATAAAGTTATTGAAGGAGGTGGGTTTGCCTGATGTCAGAGGTAAATTTAATGAGGAAATGGCTGGGTTTTTAAAAAAAAGTAAATTCCACACTGAAATGTGTTTTTAAATGGACAAAAAGTGTTAACCCAATTCTTTAAAAAGCTTGATAAAAATATGCCATAGGCAGAAAAATGTTAGTTTCTTTGATTTCATTATCTTGATGAGCGCCTGATTCCGTCACTATGCCATGCATAAAATGCAGCTGTTTCATTCTCATCTTTACTATTCCATTTCAAATTTCAATTCTTCCTTCAGTATCAATGTTCACAATCTTCACCCCCTCCTCCAATTGCTTTAAAAAATGAGGTAACAGCTTTAGAGAAAACAAGCAGCAGTAGATGTTCACATATCATTTGTCGGACATGACATTGTACTCTTAATTTCTGTTCCTAGGAAGCTGGAAGAATCAAGTTCGAATTATTTGCCGATGTTGTTCCAAAAACAGCCGAAAATTTCAGGTAAGCTGTTTGAACAGTTGTTAAAAAAGATATGCGGAAGAATCAGCTTTTTTTTAAAACTTATTGTTGATTGATTTTGATTCAATTTTTTAATTTTTTTTTTTTTTTTTTTTTTTGGAGGGGGTGGGAGTTAAATGAAACTATAAAGTTATTTTGTTGAAGAGTCTGTTAATTTCTGGATCTTGAAGTCTTTCTGGGTATTATGGGTAAGCTGGTATCGATGGGTTAAAGGGGAATTCGATGGGTTTTCATATGGGGATTTTGGGGACACAGAAACTCAGACTCGTGATATTATGATGTAAAAGGGATTGTTGGTTGGCTTTATCTTTCCCCATCTCTCATGTGTCTTTTATTTTCAGCGATGAGGTTATGACAGAAGGGATATGTGTCCAAAAACAGCAGTTGGTTAATGTTAGTAAAGAAGTACAGGTACTACCAAAGTACAGTCAAACTAACCTTAGCAGTAACATCTCCATACCTGTTGCATTTACCAACAGCCACTGTTCCATAACACCCATGCATTTTTCCTATATTGTAAACCTATCCATGGTTGTCCTTGTCCAACGTGGCCACAATCAGTCATTTACGTGACAAATCGGCCTCAAAACCTGCCCATAGCGGTCACTTACTACAAAAGTTTTCTGTCAAACTGTCCTTAGACTGAGTGTATGCATTTAACTGATTCAAAGAGGCTCTATTGATAGATAACAGTTTTGATGGAAATGAAACAAAATAAAAATAACATTTCAGATATTAAACCATCTTTTGACTTTGTCAAGACTGATAAGTGAACATTGCACAGACCATCCAAAGAGACCACCTGTCTATAGTATTAATTTTTCTCTGTGATATTGAGTGATCATTATGGACAGGTTCAACTGTATTCATGTACTCAGTTGACCAACTCGATTTAACAATAGAGCAAATGCTGTGTGCATGTATTTTTGTATATATTTTTCTTGTAGACAATTTTGCACTGGAGAGTACAAGAAAGATGGAAAGCCAATAGGTTACAAGGGGGCCACATTCCACAGGTAAGTGGACATTTCGCTTGTCTTTTTGTTCATATTTGAATTATGCAGTGGAGTCAGCTTAAACCAATATCTGCAGGATTGCCAGATTTATTTTGGTTTTTAACCCTTCCAGCCCCATGCGCATATATTTTCATCAACGCTTGTATCTCCCGCTGTTCCAAGAGCATATATTCTCAGTTTCTGGTGGTACCGAATTTGCACATTTTTCAAAATTAGCGAACCTAATTAAGATTTAATTTTCATAATATGTATTCATTTACCTTTAAACACTGTTATATGTTATTATCTAAACCTCTTTACAAAGATACATCACTTTTTAGAATGCATGCTTCTTTTTCTGAAATACCGCTGTATTGGCTGGGACTTGGATTAGGGAGTGCACAAAAATGGCTGGTGCTCAAAGGGTAAAGGTTGCTCATATACAAGAGAAATTTTTTTTTGGTCAGTTTATCACAGTTTTTGGATTAACCGTGTTCAGTTTAAAGCAGACTCCATGATATTAACTAATAAAGAATGTATTGCCATATCATATGACATGAAATGTTATTTTGTATGTCATGTTTCTCTGCTTGATGGGTGCTCTGCTAGTGTTGAATTATCTGACTTATTCGTGCTGTGTGAGTTTCCTGTTTTTTTCTGACTTTTGTCATTCATATTGAGTTAATGTCAGGAATGAGACTGATCCCTGATAGTATTTCTGTTCTTTGGTTGATTATGTTTGTTTCCTAAATAATACAATGTATGAATGAAGGATCTTCTTTTTTTTTTAAGTTAGTGTTTTTCAACATTTGTCCCACATGTGGACGATGTGTCTCTTGTTACAAATTGTAGCCTTTTGTATATTTTTTCAAAAGATTACATTGTTAAGTTCAAAATAATTTGACTCCTAATTGTGTTTAGATTTAAGGTCTGGTTAGAAAATCCTATTAAAATAAATGAACCTGTACCTATTATCTGTATGATTAAGTAGTCAGAGACTGACCTGTAGAGTGAATAATGATGATGGATACTGAATGGAAGGAGTGCTTGTGAAATAATCAGGAATATGACATCACCATGCTGTTTAACTGCTCTAAGCCCAGAAAGCAAAATTTTACAGAAGAGAGAAAAAAGTGTTTATTTTAAAAAAAATAATAATACCCACACCATGTCCTTTGGTTTGCTTTTATCAACATTTAGAATTTGAATTTCAACCAAATCTTTCTCGAGCTCATGCAGCCAAAACCACAGATTGAAAAATTGCAATTGAAAAAAAAAAGTCAAAACTTTGGACTTTGTGTGTCAGCACGCCTGTTCGATGATAGGTACAGTGTAAAGTAAATGTAATGTTCAGTCTGTCATGTCTTTTGTGTTTTTCAGAGTGATCAAAGATTTTATGGTACAAGGAGGTGACTTTGTCAATGTGAGTATGTTGCTGGGGTGGGGC